TGCATCCCGATTTGTCTGGTCATTTAAGCTCGTCAGCACAGTATTTCCTCCTTACGATCGGTTATTTAAGTTGTGCAGTCAATCCATATTTGTATGCATACCAACAACGGTCGTTCAGACAAGTTTTCAAACGAATGTTCAGTATTAAGGATAGTATGTAAAGTATAGCTCTTGCAAATAGGATTTTATCCTTTAATTAGATTTCTCAGAGTTTGAGAGCTTGATGATAAAAGTAATCGAAATACTTGACGTTTGACGGGGTGCATCCTGATTTATTTGGTCCGCATGCATGGCTAAAAGAGACACCCTCGTAGGGATGATATTCGATTTGCAGATTCGCAAAAATCGCGACACGTTGTCAAAGAATGAATTGAGCTAAGGGTTCCACCACGAAAGTTTTCTTTACCTGACCTTAGTCTAAATCCCCAGCCCAGAGGGTATTTGCATACCAGTCATACAAGCTATATAAAAGTTTCGTAGTCGTTTGTTTAAACTGAAATCTGTAAACAAAATACGTCTCATTTTCCTATCGGCTGTTAATAAATCGCAGAAGACTCTCGTCTTCGACATCGCTTCTCCCGGAAAGGGTTAGATCGTAGTAGTCGTTGTTTAAGTGTTACTCCAGATTGTTCTACTATCTTGATGTTTAGTCCAACACGTTTAACTTCTTCTTCATATCGTTGTTTAAGGGCAGATGTAAACTCTATAATGGGTGTGCCCCAGTTGGGATTGAGGTTTAATGGTGATAAACTGGTTAAAGATCAAGTTGCTGCCGAAGCAGATCGGTCCATAGAGGCGGATGAAAGAGCGATGCGTTTATTCAAATCTATTGCCAACAGCATTCACCCATCTATTGAGATGGAAATTGATTGCCCATCACGCCATAATGACCACAAACTTCCCATACTTGACTTAAAAGTTTGGATTGAGGAGAGAGAAGGGAATGAAGGACAACAGACTGAAAAAGTTATATTACATGAATTTTACGCCAAAGATGTAGCGTCCAAGTCCGTTGTTAATGCGAAATCAGCCCTACCATGGAGTAGTAAGAGAACAATACTTACACAAGAAGTATTGAGAATTCTACTGAACTGTAGTACGCGGTTACCATAGGAAGTGGTTGTTGATCATGTGAACAATATGATGATACGTCTACAGTTTTCTGGTTATGATGCGAAATCTAGAATGGAGGTAGTAAAGTCAGCTTTAAAGGCATATGATAACATCAAGAAGTTAGACAGCTGTGAAAAGAGGCCCATGTATAGGACTAGAGAGTGGCGACAGGTTGATCGAGCCGAAGAAAAACGTAAGAAACGAGACACCTGGTATAAGAAGGGAGGATATGACAGTGTTATTTTTATACCAGCAACACCAAGATCTGCCCTTAAACAACGATATGAAGAAGAAGTTAAATGTGTGGGACTTAACATCAAGATAGTAGAACAATCTGGAGTAACACTTAAACAACGACTACAACGATCTAACCCTTTCCGGGAGAAACGATGTCAAAGAAGAGAGTGTTTGGCTTGCCAAAGTAATAGGAAAGGAGAATGTGGTGCCACTGGAGTCACGTACGAACTTGTTTGCCAGGAATGCAAACACATATATGTGAGAGAAACGTCAAGAAGTGCATATAGTCGTGGCAAAGAGCATTTACACTCCTTGAATCGTCGTGAAGAACAGTCTGTCATGTGCCGGGAGACATGCAAATGAGAAGCATGGAGGCGATATACCACTCTTTATAATGAATGTTACTGGCATTTTCCGTGACGATGCAATGTTAAGACAGGTTACAGAAGCAGTAAACATCAACAGAGTAAAGCAAAGTGAACTAATGAACACAAAGAATGAATGGAATTATGTGAAAATTCCCCGTGCTATCGTGACAGTAGATTGATCATGTTATTACATGAAGTTTCAACAGTAGATGGATAATATATTTGTATTACATGAAGTTTTTTAAGTTTTTAACATTTGTTTACACGCCCAGGGCGCATATAAGATATATATCTTATATGCGCCCTGACACGCCTAAAAACGCTCAGGTTGATGCAAGTTGATAATAAACAGGATGGAGCAACGTTGTGCTGCCCACATTGTTCAGAGTTGTTATCAACATTTATCAATTATTGGACGAGGTCGAGCAAAATATCGTGATTTGTCGGTGGCGAGCAGATCAATTATTTGCCGATGCCGAAGGCAGAGGCAAATAATTGATCTGCGAGCCACCGACAAATCACGATATTTTGCGAGAACCGAGTTCAATAATTGTTTTATCATTCACCACTTAATTTTCAATTCATTCACCACACAATTTTCAATTTTGAGTTCGTTTTATCGAACAGTTCGCCAAAGCGAGTCGCCATTGTTTATAAAATTGACATTAATGCGCATGCTCAGAGTATTATTTGCAGCTGAGTATTATTTGCACGCAGTTAACTGCAGGTAAATTAACCAATCAAAATTGAGAATACTATAAAGTGAATGATAATGAACAATATTGTTGAAACTGAATCGGGTGTAACAATATTGTTCAATATTAATAACAACTCTGAACAATGTGGGCAGCACAACATTGCTCCATCCTGTTTATATCAACTTGCATCAACCTGAGCGTTTTCACGCGGTATATGGCGATTTGTTGAAAAGGTCCGGAGGACGAAACTAGTACTTTTAATCGCCTTTTTATCTTTTTACCTTTTTATTGTACATAGTGTCGAAAGTTAACAATATATGTATTGAGATATTATTATGAGTTTGAGCAAAACTTTCTTGGCTGCAGCAACAGATATATCTAGAAATTTTGCTTTTCCAGTGTTGAGAAAATCTCCCTGATTTTTAGGAGATCTCCAGGTTTTTAAAGTGGTCAGCAGCATATTCTCCCTGTATTACTTTTTTTAGGTTGACAGGTCTGCTATGGGCAAAGCCCTCAGGCCTCAGAAAATATCAACACTTAGGGATATATTTCGCCGAATCCCCGGCCCCTCACTCCAGGTCTATAAATGATATATTATACCGAAAAAGTATTGTGAGCTTGTAGTCCTGTACAATAGCCAAACATACAGTAAATACAGTACACAAGAATAGCCAAACATACAGTAAATAGGGAACTGGGATATGATACCGCGAAAAATATCCTCGTCACATGGTACAAATGATTTTTTTTGATTGGGCAGTTTGAATTTTGGAAATAATATAAACAAACATATATATGGTTTAACAGGCTGAATCAACCAGATGCATTTGAGGCAGTCGGTTAATCCTGGACAGAACTGTTTATAAAAGTGACAAATCCTTCGATCAATGTCTGATGAATGAATATCTTATCGCGTTGGGGTGATTGCATTATTGTCGAAGGGGTTTGGAAAGTGTAACGTTTTGTTAAGTGAAAACTGGAGTCGAATTTGTAACAGTGTAATTAACAGATGTTGTCGACGAACATGAATTACTATATGGTTTTCAATCTTTGCAGCTAGTCACGCCTGTTACGAAGGGTTGAATATTGAAGGAGCGCTTGTATTTCAATCAAGATTTAAAATTCTTAGATTTAGCAGCTTAATCGAAGGACTGACAGGAACTTCATCTTAAGGTGAGATTTAGCAAGATACTGTACTTGCGTGCGTTAATTGTTCCCCACACTGAAAAGCTAAAAAAAACTGAAAGTGTTATATATTTTTACGATTTATTCATTCCATGTTTCTATTCCGTTTTTGCGAATTCAGACATGACGTCGATTTTCCTATCAAGACATGTCAGACAATTGGTAATCTTTCTTTCGGCTATCGTGAAGTATACGGTAACGTGCATATTTCCTTTCCTGCATGTAATATCTTAAATTCGATTTAGTGTGGTTCGATCACGGCTGTCAAAAAATTCAGCGATGCTTCAGCAAGTACGAGTGTGGAAATGAGCCGGGGGACGTAGTCGTAGAGGCTAAACAGCCCTTTCTTTATTGTAAGAGTTGATTATAAGTAAGTTAAAAGACATTTGTACTTGTGACATACTGAAACAACCCTAATTAATCACGGTCGCATAAGCAGAATTTCAAAGGCCGCGCGGGGTAATAAACTAATACTACTTAGTGAGTTTAAGATGCACCAATCTATGACGCGGACGTGAAGTAATACTGCTTCTGCTCCATTGAATTTCCACAGTTTCCCATCAGCGATGAAAATTATAGACTCTTTTTGATAAACAAAGTCAGAGCCGTACTGTGAAACAAATTAATACTGGTTTCCTAACACTATAGTAGCAGTTTTCATGTCACCTCCGCGTCGGAGATTTGGTGCATCTTAAACTCGCTAATTTAATGGCAAACAGACTTTACGAGAGTGGAAAACATTAGACGTCTATTATAGTTAGAGGCATGTTGAATCAGTTGTCAAATCAGGGTAAATCAGAATAAATGACCACAGCTTCAACTCGAATCATATTGGTAGATTTTATGTAAAAATATTCTATAGAAAGACCAATAGCGCTGTTATTACGCTAGTTTTTTTATTGGAAATTAGGCCCCTGTGACTCATTATTAGGCCCTGTGACTTATTCTGACTTCCCCTGAATCCGCCACTGTGTTGAATAGAAGCTCACAGAGCCCCTGTTAAGATTGAAGGGCCTAAAAGTGCAGGGGCTTTGCCCTTGTTTAATTCAAAAAGTTATGTTAAATTTTTAAAACTGTTCAGAGCAAAGTTTGAATTTCCTTCTAATTCCCTGCTGTTGAAGTATATCAGAGAGCCCCATTGACATTCTGGCTATACATGCACCCCTGCAGGTGCATCTTTTTTCAACTTGATATCAATCAACTGTTCATTTCTAGGTCAGGCTTGCAACATTACAAGCCCAAAAGACGACTATGATATAAGTGTTCAAGTCGGATCAAACTTTACGATCAACATTTCATATACATGCACACCACTTGACGAAATCGAAAGTGTGTATTGGTTTTTCAATTTATCCTAATGCATATAAAGTAAGTTGAACTTGTTGAGTTTTATGAATGGTTCTACGAAATATATGATCGTACCATGGATATCCATGTTACTGGCTCATTCGGAAATAGTGGCAGGTTGACATTTACGGTATATAACGCTACACTAACTTCCAATGGCACATTTTTTGCTCTATTGTACAAAAAAGAGAGACTTCAACCACACTATGGATATCCTATACAAATTCTAAAAGTGGTTGTCGTTATCAAAGGTAATCAAAATTAGGAATTAGGAGCTCTTCAGTAAATAAATTCCAATTTGCTGGAAATCTGGAATTACTGCTAGAAGCTTAATTGGTAGACACAGCCTACTTAATTGGGGACTGTTCATATATTGTCCTATATACCCGACTCTGCAAACTGACTTCTTTTAATTGATAGCAACTTTCTACGCTTATTAGCCATTTCCTAATCGAGCAGGGTACTGGGTATAGTCGCGAACCGCAAAGCATCTATGGCCTGTTTTGAGGGATAAATAATTACAAATGATTACATTTGTCCCTCCAAACAGTCCATAGATGCTTTGCGGTTCGCGAATAGACCCAGTACGCTGCTCGATTGGGAAATGGCTAATTGGAACATGAATATATGTGTATTATCTCTTATCCCCAATTAAGCTTCTAACGACGACCTTGATTACTGGCGAGATTCCTAGAGATTCAAAATTTTCAAACAAAACTGAGTTATCATGCACCTGGTGTTATTCATATACAAAGGGTGAAAAATTTAAATCGTCGTCGTTGCATTGATAGCGGTAGTCAACATGCAGTTCTCGTTTCAATATTTTCTAAGCAATTTCGCATCGCTTTCATTTACTTTACATTTGATGAAAACAAAAACAAAATATTGAATTATTTAGTTTACCTAATCTCTACAAAAGCAATTAAATTTTTTCTTGAGCATTTATTTGTTTATTTTTAACTCAGAATTTCTCTGTTTTTCATGTTGAATTGGATCGGTAACGCCGGTCTATTACGGGAAAGTGCCAGTCCATTGCTTTCCCGTAATGGACCGCTAAAACTTCTTCTCAGCCAATCACTGAGCTCCATTTGACGCTTGCCTTATAATAAAACCGCCTAATCAACATTCAGACATTTAACGAACCCTTGTTTTCTTTATTTCTTTCTGAATGGGGTGAAAATATACGGTTTAAAATACAGATTTTACTAAAAAAAAATTTTTCGACGTTGCATCCAGCTAAAGGATATACGTTAGCAGGATATGGCAATAACGGTTAAACTTAACCTAGTGTTGATACGAGTGTCTTAACCCGGCTAAATGGTATTTTTCCCAACCTAAAAGAACTTGGTTTTATCTCGCAGGTATTATAACGTCAATTTCTTCACGCACTGAACCTACTATAGAAACCATGAAAATGAATCAATCTACAACGAAAGTAAATCAACCTACAACGAAAGTACATCAACCTGCAACGAAAGTAAATCAACCTACAACAAAAGTACATCAACCTACAACGAAAGTAAATCAACCTACAACGAAAGTACATCAAACTCCAACGAAAGTAAATCAACCTACAACGAAAGTAAATCAACCTACAACGAAAGTAAATCGAGCTACAACGAAAGTAAATCAACCCACAACGAAAGTAAATCGACCTACAACGAAAGTAAATCAACCTACAACGAAAGTACATCGACGTACAACAGAAGCAAAACAAGCAAAAACGAATGAATCAACAACAATAGTCATAGGTATAACTTAATTACTTGCAGTAACTTGCTTGTCAAATGATTATGTTGCTGATAAACTCTGAACCATTTTTTAGGTAATTACGTAATGTTTGAAAATAGTAGTGAAACTGAGTGCTACCAGGTGTGAGATGACGTTGCCGATAATAAGGCCTGTTTTCCATTCCAATCGTAACGTAACGTAGCGTATTTCTTTTTTTCCGAAGTATTCGACCGGAACTAATGACTTTAAAACAATGAGATACATAGAGATTACTTCATGGTTGGCGAGTGCGTACGATTTTTATGCACGAGTTGTGAAGGATCGCAATACGAACGAGTGAGCGCAGCGAACGAGTGAGTTTGCGATCCTTCGCAACGAGTGCATAATAAAAATCGTACAAACGAGCCAACCATGAAGTAATTTGTTTATTAAATGTGTATAGAGATCAATTTGACAACGACACGCTTTTAATATACAAAAACACAGCGAACAACAAAATCGAAACTTTATGCATGAAAACATATTTATTACCGTTCAGTTTCTTTGTAATTTTGTTCAATAGAAGTTAGACATTCTTTCCGAAAGATTTGAGATGTGCTGAATGTAAAAATATCTTGAATATGAGCATTATGTTTTGAATCTCACTCCTATATTTCGACGCCATCTTGAAAGAAAATGTAAACAAATTGCCGCCAAAATGACATGCGACAATTTTTCACGTGTGAAGAATATCGTACGTCCAATCAAAAGCCGTGTATGGCATTTTTTCACACGTGAAAAACATCGTACGTCCAATCAAATTGCATGAAATTTATTTACACAGTGAAATACGATTTTTATTTCATCATTCTGCTGTGCATAAATCTCTATACACATATAATAAGCTACGTTTCGCTACGATACGGTTGAAGTGGAAAACGGCCTTAAACGACCACGTCGACCATATCTGAACTGGATGCATCTCAAAGGTTAATTTTCGCTTCATTATTTATAGGGTTCTCGCATGGTATTGGTTGGTGGTTAGTTTTGCTGTTATCATGTCTCATTTTTTCTGTTGTTTTCTTCACTGTTGTTCTATTTATCCACTATACTGGTAGGTGGTAGTTGAGGTAGGAGAAGCACATCCCAACTACATAATCCAAGATACACTGATACAACAGCTCTGGGTTGGTACATGCTTGACTTGATCTATCAGATCAACTGCATGAATCATAGATCTGATCGACTGTGGTCATGCGGTTGCTGCTAGTGATCATGCAGTTGGGTTGTATAGACGAGGTACGGCGTGTCCAGGCCCATTAAACTGCGAAGTGGTTAAAGCAGGAGGGTGTAAGCGCAAAATCACTTATTTGGTTTAATATCCATTAAAGCCGTATCCAAGGCGACTAAGGTTTGAGTTTTTGAGCTGAGACTAAGGCAAGGAGAGTATTCAACCTTAGCATACAATATATGTATATACCGGCAAACATACTGCGAGAAAAAAGTACTTTTTCAGAATTTTTTCGCTCAAGGTTTTGACTTTTAGGTTAAGGCTTTAATGTCAATGCATGTTTTAGTGTTATGTTCGAGTTTGTAGTTGTCTGTTGTGCTTAATTAAATTACATTTAACTGAGTGGTTATATATACAATAAGTTGGTGACGTTCGATCAACCATATTACATCCTTCAAGTTTGTAAAGTGGAAATCTAATACATAAATTATTATTTTTTTACTTGGTTTTCCAGAGACAATTTTAGCTGCATGGCTGAAGATATAAGTTCATCGATCGTTCTACGAATTACCTTTACAAGCTTTCACTTAAAATTAATTAGTTCAAATTTGCCGAAAAATCTGTCAAAATTACAAAAAATCCCTATGTTACAATCCCTATGTTACAATTAATCCCTATGTTAAATTCACTTAGAATCTTTATGTTACAATCCCTATGTTACAATTAATCCCTATGTTACAATCCCTATATTCGCTATGGGCCTGGACGCAGAATATTACGCACTTTGATTATGTATTTGTATGTCTTATAGGTAATCCACGCATTTCTACGTGGTACATGCATCTTTGCAATGTTGGAAAATACTGATGGTTAGATATAGATTTATAACAAAAAACTAGTTGAGTTATATTAGAGTTGCATTCTCCATGCATTTGACTTTAAATTTAATCTGACTCCTCAACAGTCCCTTGTGATTCTGTACTCAGGAGAATCATCCTACGTCAGAAAATAATATTTAGTATGTAATACTTTTTATATTTGGAGAGGATCGTACAACCTCGTTCTCAGGGTCTTTTGAGGATCGTATAGCTTTTATTCAACTCGTTATTTCATTTCCGCCATGATTCGCTATATATGTAAAGGCGCACATGGAGACCGGAAGCGATGCGGTTACGCGAATTTTCATTTTTCAGAAGCATAGCTAAAAGTTATATTCTGGAGGCAAATATTATGATAGGTTAAAATTTATTTGCTTTTAGAAAATAAAAAACTTTGAAGCGGCGCGATTTTTAACGTTTGTTATTTTCTGAAAGCAAATACATTTTACCCTATCATAATATTCTTGTAGATTACTCAACAATAATACATTTTACTGCTTTGGCGTCCATGGATCCTAAAGTTTGCTTCCAGAATTCAATTTATATGCTTCTGAAAACTGGAAATCCGCGTCGCTTTGCCGCATCGCGTCTGGTCTGTGTCGACCTTTAAGGCCTGTTTTTAACTTCAATCGTAACGTAACGTAGCGTATTTTTTTGTTTCCGAAGTATTCGAGCAAAACTAATGACTTTAAAACAATGAAATACGCTACGTTTCGCTACGATATGGTTGAAGTGGAGAACGGCCTTAAGGGCTGCTTTCCACTTATGCGTTTTTTATACGCACGTACACGCACGGGAAATTTGAAATGCTTCCAAATTTTTATTATTTAACATCCAGGTCTACAAGTGCATACTAAAATATGCGGAAAACTAAGTTCTTTCGATTTATTTACTTCGTTCTTTCAAAGATAACATATATAAGGATTTACACTTTTACGTGCGTGTACGTGCGTATGAAAAACGCATAAGTGGAAAGCAGCCTTAAGGCTGACAACACCGGACGCGATTTGCCAACGCGACGCGAAATCAGGAATATCACGAATTTTTCAGTTTTCATAATTTGCTAATTTTGACAATGTTGTGATATTCTTGGTGATTGCTAAATGACAGTACATTTTGAATTTTCTGTTTCCTATATCTCTCAAAATTATCTTTCGGAATTGAATTTCTTTGCTTCTGAAAATAAAGAATTCGAATCGCGTCTATGCAGGGTGTATGAGCATTAAAGGTCTACACAGATCATATGATAGCACAAACCGATTTTTAGTTTTCTGAAGCATATAAATTGAATTCTGGAAGCAAATTTGAAATCTATGGACGCCAGAGCGATCAAAATGCATCATCGTTAAGCAATCTACAAGATATTATAATAGGTTAAGATTTATTTGCTTTTGGAAAGTTAGAAACATTGAAACACATTGAAAAAACAAGAAAACAAGAGAGGCATTGAAAAATCGCGCCGCGTTGCCAAATCGCGTTCCGTCTGTGTGGACCTTTAAGGGCAGGACTCTTAGCAGCAGTACAACTTCCCGCATATTTGTATCGCTGTAAATTATCCGCCTATGGATAAAATAAAGCTACGTGTAACTATCTTCATTCAAACATTTTCCATTTAAATAAACTTAGTTTCCATATATTAAAACGAGTGTTAGAAGTTAGAACTATATAGTTTCGAATCAGCCTTTTAAAAGGAATTTCACTGCTGATCGATGTTACAAAATTTACGTTAAAGCCGCCTTGGTTTAAACCTGTAGGCGTGTCGTATTATTCAGCCCGTGCCGTAAACTCCATTTTTTTTAAACTATACCAATCAACCGCACAATCATTAAGTGATTAATTCGAATTTCCCTTCTAAGTTGACTGAACAGCTTGTAATTTGGTAAATGCGCATTTTGAACAGGCTGACGTGGATGACGGCGTGATATATCCAAACGGCTTCACTTTTTGCCGCCAAAATCAAACCGAGTTTATATCATTTTTTAAAATGCGTCAAAACAGTAGTGCTCCAGATAAAGAAATTCGAATTAAACAAGGGCTGTTCCAGTCTGCAAGTATAATTTCGGTTATATTTCGGGAACTCCGGTCGAAATATATGAGAATAAAGCGCGGTATGGCCTATGGCATACCAATCTGTGAAGCACATATTGGTATGCCATACCGCATGTATTCTCAGATATATCGACCCCAAATATAATTGAGGTCACTGTGTTGACATCGCCATCAAATTCAGTGATCCCCAATTTTTTTTTCATCATCACACGAGAATAAATGCCTAATCGATAGCAGACAGGATTTAGACAGATTTTGACGCTTGGTTTGCTATATTATGATGCCTGATAGCCACATTTACAGATACTGATTTCAATCCTTTATTCAAACATTTAGATGCTTAATATCCCTGTTTAAAATGTGCATTTGAAAGTTTCAATAAACTGCACGGAGCCAATAAGACATTTTTAGTTTACACTTAATGCTGAAAAATTTACAATATATATACGCCGCCCTGATGTGGACGCCGCACCCGCTGATCAAAAAATTCAGTGAGTCGAGAGATAAATACGGTGCAACGAAACAATACGGCATATGCCCTTGGCTTTATTCATCATTATGCATTTTTCCCCTTATCGATATTTAGAATAAAGGTCAAGCTTCGAGAATGTCGCATGTAAGCCTCGAGATAACCAATGACAAGTAATTAAAGTACTCGAACTCTGTCTCTTCGTAAGATCGTCATTCTATTATTTACACGCGGGCACTCTGCCAACCTAGCAAAACTGGTACTAATACTAAATTGGTTGCCGATCGAGTCTTAGAATTTTACTTTATGGGCGTAAACAAAAAAGGTTTATAAAGCAAACAAAAAAATTTTTATCCATAACATAGCTAATTGTAATGAGCATGCATATTCATAAATATTTTTACTGATAAGCAAATTGTGTATCATGTTTTGTGTATCAAACCTCTTAAGGAAATTATCTTATTGCTCTGTGATGTAAATGGTTGTGTATTTTGAAACTATATGCCATAGCTGTGGAGGCGATTTTGTGCATGCATTTTAACATGCTAATCTTTTTTGATACTGCATGAGATGCGAAAGATCGAGTCGATCAGTTTCATTGAAACTGAAAATTGAAAATTGAAATAAGGTTTTATAAGGAATTATTGTTTGGCAATAAGTGCTCGTTTCCATCCATCAAAAGACAAATATTGCCGCAATGAGTGCAAGCTAGTGTAAGCGGACCTTATAATATTTGCAGAAATTTTATCATTGCCATTGGAACTTCATCTATATTTGTATACCAGCTTTTTTTATTATGAACCTTTCAATTTACAGTGTCCAGGGTTAGCTGTAAAATTATGACATTATAAACTCCTCAGCTAAACATACCACGCATTTGTGAAGAAAAACGTATAAAAGACAAGTATATATGCATGCATATACTAAAAGAACCCGTCACTATCCGCGAGTCCGTGTCCGCGTGCCCGCCTTTTGCGCCATGCCTATATGCTAGCTTTGTTGTGTAGAATAGAATAGAATGGAATAGAATAGAATAGAGGTTTATTCAAATTACTTTGCAGCAAAAGCTGAATTACGTAATGATTACAACCTTTGTATTAAAATTAATTATGATACTACTGATATTACTTACATCAAAAAGTTTAAAAAGCAGAATAAAATTCAGTTAAAATCTAAAAGTCAGGTAGACCTAAACCTATTTAATTTTATTATTGAATCTGTTGCACATAGCAAAGATAAAAGAGTTTTTGGTCCTTTCAGTTTTAATTAGAGGCAAGTTAAAATTATTTACATTCCTTAAAAGATAGCCTGGATCATATCTTCCAGGCAATAAGTGACGAATCTTGTAATTTTCATCGGACATTACAGATTGGAACAAAGTGTCACATAAATATTCGTGATGATTTTCCATGGATTTAATGTTTAACAATCTGAGAGCATCAAGGTAATGCGTATCGGGCATAATTATCGCAATTGCCCTTTTCTCCAACCGTATCAGTTCATTCTTTAAATATTGTGGTAATGAGTTATAGAATACTGGTATTGCATAATCAACAACAGATCTGATACATGAAGTGTAAAACAATGCTAAATCTTTCGATTTCACTTTGGCACGTTTTAATTGTGAGAGAAAGTATAATCTTTTATTCACTTTCTTAACAACAACCGCGATGTGCTCATTCCATTCCAATTTACTGTTTATAGTGAGACCCAACAGCTTTATACTTTCCACGACTTCTAATTCTTTACCATTAAGAACCAAGGGATCCAGATCAATGGGATTTGCGGAAAACGCGCAGTTCTTTGCATTTCTCTGAGTTTAGTTGCATCCTGTTTTTTTCAGACCAGCAAGACATTTCGTTTACTAGGCTCTGAGCTTTACTAATGCCGTTTTTCCCGACTATCTCAGATGTTGTTGAGTCGTCAACATACTTCCATAGATCCCCTTGAGATATATGTAAGTCGTTTATTAAAATAATAAACAACCAGGGACCTAATTTTGTGCCCTGAGGGACGCCTGATGGAACAGAGTCCCACGACGAAAAGCAGGAATTTCCCAGCTTAATTCTCTGGAATCTATCGGTAAGAAAATCCATAATCCAATTTACGACACTGTGGGGAATATCTAATTGTGACACTTTTTTGATCAGGATTGAATGGTCTATGAAATCAAAGGCTTTCCGATAGTCGAAAAGAATTGTTCTAATAACTGATCCATTTCCATCTGTTCCAGTGTACCATTGGTGTAACATATTAATAAGTGCCATTGTTGTAGATGATTCAGGTATAACGCCGTATTGATTCCGATTAATCGCCTTTAGTACAGCTGGCTTTACATATTTATTTACCACAAATTCTTCTGCCACTTTAGAAACGCACGAAGTAAGCGAAATCGGTCTTAGATCTTTTTCCGGGTGTTTCACAATCTTAATTTTTGGCATTGGAATAACATCTGCCTTTTTCCAAAGGGAAGGAACATACTGCTCTCGAAAGGATGCGTTGAGAATAAGGGTAATAGGAAATGCAAGGATAAATGAATATTCCTTTAGAAGCCAGTTAGGGATTTCATCTGGACCAGCTGCTTTGTTCACCTTAAGTTTTGATAAGACTCTCTGTACTGATAATTCTGATACATTGAGAAAAACTGGAGACTCTTCCAAAGGGTATTTGGGTAGTGGAGAATATACTCATTCAGTGGGTCTAGAAATGCCGCGTTAATCTTATTTGCTTGATCTTTAGGGCTTAAATTGGAGAATTCCTCAACGCCTGT